CTAGTCTAGAAATAGTGTGAGAGTGGATAATTAAAACGAGGAAAGAAATTAAACGTGACATGATTCAAAAGTTATTAAAGTCTAACAATCTCTAGATGGAATGTAAGATGATTATTTATTTATCAATCAGAGTAACAGTGATGATCAAAATGAAACAAAATTCTGCGATGTGCCTAAAACTGTGACGGACAAAAAATATAACGAATTTATAGTTATCTAGTAATGAAAATTTATACGATGCATGATTCCTTTAAATAAACAATATTCACAAATATATAAAAACCTAATTTTTTTTTAATAATTACCCTTTTTTTTTAGGAATCATTTTTATATCCGGCTTATAATGCGCGTCCATAAATTTCGAAAAAAAAATTTTGTAGTAAAAGTGCATGTTATATGCCGGAATATACGATTTTCATACAAGAAATTATTTAATTGTTATTTGCGTAAATCATTAATCAATTTTCGCAAAATAACGTATTTTATTTGGCTTTCGACTCTGGCTTTATTTTACATTTTTAAAAAAAAAAATTGAGAAAATAAAAAACATATTTTCATTGTTTAATTTCAAATATTTTAAGAGAAGTTAAAATGAGAAGGAATATATATGTATAAATTATAGTTCTTTAGTTATAGCATTACAAAAAGTATTTTTGATACAAATTAAAATCTGTCTTCTACGTAAAACAAAAAAAAATTATAAACATTTTCAGTTATTTCAAACAGCATGTATTAAAAGTTCTATTTTTAGCCTAATTTCTTGTACGATATTATTTAATACGAATCTTGTCTATATCATGAAACATTTCAAGTATGAAATATTTAGAAAATACTTACACACAACAGATTTTTAAATATTATCAAAATTATTAATTTTATTACTTATACATAAAAATGGAAAAATATCAGATCTGTAATAAAAAGTCCAGAACAATATTTCCGTAATTTAATTTTAAACCCCAGATTAATGAACCAAAAACAAAAAGCTTCCAGTCGTTCCAT